TCCGCGTACGCANCGTTCCACAACGCCGAAGGCGGGCTGTGGTTTCCGTAATGTGCGAAGCGGAGTGCTGCACGCGACTTGACATCTGGCATTGCTCGGTGATAGCGGGTCCTGACGCCGACACTGCTTCCTCCGGCCTCTGCCTCAGCGACGGCGCACTGCCGGCGCCCATGTACAGCGTGCATGTAGGGCGGCATGTGGCGGCGTCTATGGACTGGCTGCCCCTGCCGCTGGATCGGCCGGATAACAACACGCTCGGCCTCTGCACCTTTATCAGGGGCAGGTACCTGGTCTCGACGGTGCTTCCACGCAGCGTGGTGGCTGAGGCCGTCGCCGCGGCGGGAGCGCGCAGTGCCAGTGGCAGGCATAATCTCCACTGCCCCAATGTGGCCGCCGAGGTGTGCGGGGCGACGCTGCTGAAGCGTGAGATAGATCTTGCTGAGGTGCGGTGGAGCTCCAATGGCGGCGCCGTTTCCGAGACGTTTCTCTTCGCGATTGGCCGCTGCACCTCTGTGGTGGTACTGCAGCCTACCGGCGACACCCACTCCGGCCGCCTGACGCTGCAGGTGGTGCACCATATTGAGGCCAAGGGCGTTGCGGCGCTCCCGCCCTTTGTGCCGTCTCCGCCTATTGCTATTGGGGCGGCACGTGGGGGCCACACGATGCTGGTAGTCTCTCACGGCACGAGTGTGGCATGCTACCGGGCCCCAGAGTTTAGCACACGGCTTTTCGTGGCTGTGGATGACGTGGTGTGCGCCTTGCGTTGCCACGAGCGAGTCGTGACGGTGGGACTGGCGAGCGGGGCGGTGGTGGACGTGAGCGGCGGGGCCGCCGTCGCGACGCTGTTGTCCCCGCCGCTGCTTATTGACTGTGCCGCCGGGGACGACACCTGGCTACTTGCAGATGCCTCAGGCGAGTGTGTACGTGTGCACCGACGCCCGAAAAGAGAGGAGACGGAGACGGAGACGGAGTGTGTTCTTGCCCTCTCGCGCGTGCCACGGGCGGCTGAGCAGCCGGCGACGTTACTCATCGGCCGCAGCCGCACCACCGCCTCGTTGCGTAGTGCGAGCGACAGCGTGGTCAGCTTTGTGCAGCACCCCCTTCAGCATCTCATGGCCGTGCGTGGCCCGTTGCTCGCCTTCTTCCCCGACGGTGCCTGGGTGCTGGCGCCGCTGTGAGTGTGTCTGCGTGTGCGTGGGCGCAGACAAACAAACATAATGGATTCACGCAGAGACGGAGACTCGATGGGAGCCGCATAGAAGGCGGGAGGAGGGGTGGGGGTGGGAGGCGAGTGGGACTGAGCGTGTGTCTGTACGTGTGAGAGAGGGAACTAGGGAGAAGACTGGTGAGTAATACTGAGAGCTGCTTTTTATTGTAAGCAAACAAACAATAATAGAAAAGGGCTGTGCGCTGCCGCATTCCCTCCGCCTCTCTCTGCCGTGTCGCTTCGTCTACCGCACCACACACCAGCATAATCTTTTCTTCTTTTATTTTTGCTTGTCTTTCTTGTTGTTTTTTTTTTTGCCCGGGCAGGGTGGAGGCGTCGGTGCCTCCCCTCCCCCCAGCTGGCTGCTGTTTTTCTCGCTTTCTCTCTCTTTTTTTTTTTTTTTTTCACACTTCCCTGCGCCGACGTGCAACGCCTGCGTGGGCCGGGAGAGACGTGAACATATACACAGACACAGAGGGAGGGAGAAGCCGAAGGAAAACACACGCACACATAGAGGGAGAAAAAACTTGCGGCAGGGGCATCTTTTTTTGTTTGATTTTTGCGTCTGCCCATACGAATAAATAAGTATTTTTTGCAGCCACCACCACGAAGTTCACTTTACGCAGCCGAGTGATGCACCTCTCCCTTCCGTCGCGGCTGGAGAATTTGGTCCGGGCGGAGTTCGAGGACACCTGTCGTCGCCGCTTCTTCTTTGGGTTGGCCTTCGACCCGTACGGTGGGGCGGCGGGCCTCTACGACATGGGCCCGCCGCTCTGCGCCATGAAGGCGAACCTGCTCGCCCACTGGCGTCAGCACTTTGTGCTGGAGGAGAACATGTGCGAGGTGGACACGACGTGCCTGACGCCGGCGGAGGTCTTCAAGGCCTCCGGCCACGTCTTGCGCTTCAACGATGTTATGGTGCGGGATACCGTCACGGGCGAGTGTATCCGCGCCGACAAGCTGCTCGAAGAGTACTGCGAGGCGCAGCTGAAGGACACCGTCGCCCTGCCTGACGCGCGGCGGCAGGAGTTGCAGACGCTCCGCAACACGGCGGGGGGCATGACCCCGGCGGAGATCCAGGCGGCGGTGGCGCACCACCAGATCACCTCGCCCAAGGGCCACGCTCTCAGCGAACCGTTTCCGTTCAACCTCATGTTTGCCACGAACATTGGCCCGGAGGGGGATCGGGTGGGGTACATGCGCCCGGAACTCGCCCAGGGCATCATACTTAACTTTAAGCGCCTCCTCGACTCCGGCAACGCGCAGCGCATGCCGTTCGCAGGTGCCTGCATTGGCACCGCCTTCCGCAACGAGATAGCCCCTCGCGCCGCCCTTCTCCGCGTCCGCGAGTTTACGCTGGCGGAGATCGAACACTTTGTCAACCCCAACGACAAGCATCACGACAAGTTTGCCGCCGTCAAGGACACCGAGTTCTGGGCGTGGTCGCGGGAACTGCAGGCAGCCAATGCCGAGCCGGTCTGCATAACTGTTGGGAACGCCGTGGCGCAGCAGATCATCGACAACGAGACGCTCGGGTACTTCATTGCCCGCACAGCGCTCTTCTTGACGGCGGTCGGGGTGCGCTTCGTCCGCTTCCGCCAGCACCAGCGCAACGAGATGGCGCACTACGCTCAGGACTGCTGGGATGCCGAGCTGCTCACCTCCTACGGCTGGGTGGAGTGCGTTGGCATCGCCGACCGCTCCGCCTACGACCTTACGCAGCACAGCGCAGCCAGTAAGAAGGACCTGTTTGCCCGCGAGGAGTTCACGGAGCCACGCACCGAGCGTCAGCTGCAGCGCAAGCTACAAAAGGGCGCGATTGGCAAGGCCTTTGGCAGAAATGCCGGAGAGGTGATGGCATACCTGACGGCCGCGCCAGAGGCGGCGTGCGTTGAGCTCGGCGAGCGACTGGCATCCTCTGGCAGCGCGGAGATCACGACGGCGAGCGGCTTCACCGCGACGCTGCGTCCGGGGATGGTGCAGTTTGACTACAAGGAGGTTAAGGTAACGGGTCGGAACTACATCCCCAGCGTCATTGAGCCTTCCTTCGGCGTCGGCCGCATCCTCTACGCGCTGCTCGAGCAGAGCTACTGGGTGCGCCGCGACGAGAGCGCCAAGAACGAGAAGCGCGCTGTCTTCAGTCTTCGGCCCGTGATCGCGCCGCAGAAGGTGGCGGTGCTGCCGCTGCTCGTGAAGCCGGAACTGACGGCGGCAGTGGAGGGGATTCGCAGCGAGTTGGTGCTGCGCGGCATCTCCACCCGCACCGACGACAGCGGGGCCTCGATTGGGAAGAAGTACGCCCGCGTGGACGAGCTCGGCATTCCCTTCTGCGTCACCTGCGATTTTGAGGCGGACGGATGCGTCACACTTCGGGAGCGCGACAGCGCCCGACAGGTGCGCATCCCTCTCGCAAAGGTCGCCGACGTCGTGGCGGCGCTGAGCCGCCCGTCGCAGCCACGTGATTGGGGCAGCGTCGAGGCGGAGTTCCCTGCCCAGGCCGCCGCCACCGCGTAGTCGGTGTGTGTGTGTGTGTGCACGTAAGCGGTGTGTGTGTGTGTGGGCCCATGGGCGTGGGACGTCATTGAAGAAAACACCAACAACCAGAAAAAACAAGCAAACGGAGGCAAGCAAGCAAGGATAGACACGGCGGGAAAGTGCGGGGGCTCTATAGCAAGAAGGGATAATAAACACAACGAAGAACGCGTGTGAAGCGAAAACTGATGACGGCGGTGGGGCTTGTGGCACACGT